TGTTTCTCAGTGAAGGTTGATACGATAATCAAGTATAACTTGATTAAATTCAAAGCAGCATTTGATGCSATCAGATACTGTTTTGTCAACATTTTTGAGGGAAGGAAGAGGAGATTTCTTTTTGATTTTTCACTCTCTACTGACTACATTTTCTTTTTTACTGATCAGATACTGTTGTCTGGTATTTTGTCTTAAATAACACTGACACTGTTGCTTCTTAGCAAAGTTTCTCTTAAAAACCAAGGGGTTATTTTGTTGTTTTTGTTTTTAAGGCTAACTTTGCTTCCAATGGAATGAGTTTGCATCTTTGTCAGCCTGTGACATTGCTGGAGATGAGTCAAAGCAGTGTCTTAAATGTGACTCTTGGAGAATTTCAGTGTATTAATTCTTAATTTGGCATGACCTAAATCTCTTAATTATTTAACTGGAGAGGAATTTCAGCAAGTTAAAGCTCTACACAGCTGAGTAAGACCTTTCCTCAGCACATGCAGACTATTTAACATTTATTGAGGCAAACATGCACACTCAATACAAGCTACAACCAAAGCCAGTATTTTAGATATCTGCTAACCTAGCACTAACTTTTTGAATAAAAAATATACCATCCAAACCGTAATTTGTTGAAGAATACTAAAGGAAATAATTCTGTGTTTTAGGTTTTCAAAATAAATCATTGCAGCTTAGATATAGTTAAAATAGCAATATGCCAAATGCCTTAATCATGTCTTAAGCCATTTACCGCTACCTAGTTGCTTTGAAGTCTCTCTTAACTGTTTCTGAAATTAAGGAATGCAGAAACATGTAATTGTTTTGCATTTATTTTAAGCACATCTTATTGGCATCTTATTTGATTTTCTTTTTCCTTATGAGTTTTGAGTTTTGTTTTGGTTGTTGCTTTTTAGCTTGTCAAGAGACAGACGAACCTGCTAAGCCGCTCGTAAGGCTATAAAACATGTTGCAGCCACAGTCTTCAGCACCGTTCCTGCTCATTCCTCAAAATGCCTTGGGCATGCAAGGCTACAAGAATCTCTAATAACGTGCTTACAAGGATCTCTAATAACGTGCTTACACCTGGTTATGCGAATGCTATGCTGCTTATTACTGCTTAAGCATAGTTGCCTGTTGAACAAATAAGTGATATGCTTCTGCTGGCACTTCAGTAGCTGCTTTAAGAGGAGGAATGTTTTTTAATTCCTAGACGTTTTAGTGAGCAGTGTATAACCCCATTGAAAGCAGAGAGACATTTTTATTAAAGGATATATAAACTGATTGGCAGCAGCATCAATGTTCGCTTTTGTCATGGTGGGGGGAGTTTATGAAAAAAATATAATTTAAAAAAACTATACAAATAGCTAAAAGAAAACAAGGAGATGAACAAAAGCCAGCCTGGACTACAAATCAAACCAGCTGTCAAACCAATGCAGTTTCATTCTGCAGCACAGTAATAGCCGTTGTGGCTAGAGGAGAAGCAGTCAGATTTTTTGTTTTCAATAAGGTTTTTTAATAAACATACTGGGGAAATGAAGACTAAATTAAATATGTAGTAAATCAGAAAATTGTCCTTGGAAAGTACTTACCCAGTAGTCCGAATCTTAAATTTGCTAATAACATGAAGCGGGGATAGAAGGAGGATATGTTAATGGATAAAACTCTGAATTTCTATTCAGAGTCATCTTGATATGTTAGAGAAAAAGAAATCTGAGAAAAAGGATGAAATTCAGTGGAAAAAAAAAATGTGAGACTATTCCTCAGTGGACAAAAAGAATGGAATGGTTTAGTAGCCATTTTGTTGAAAAATAAGTTATGCGCATGGTCAGATTCTTAGAGCCAACACATGCTGCTGAAATAAATAAAAGATAAAAACTTGGAGTGAATTAACAATGAGCAGATGAAGAAATGCTTTATAGGGTCTTTATAGGGTTGTTGGTGCTTCCTTTGCTTGGTAGTGGTCTGGGTACAGTACCTTAAGTTTTGAGCAACCTACATCTGCAAAACTGGAATTTCTGAAGAGACTCTAGAGAAGACTTGTGAGAATGGCTCAAAGTCAAGAAGAAGGGTCTCACAGGAGAAGATCAAAGTGGTATTTTTAATTTTACAGCAGTGAAGACTGAAGGGTAGCATGGAAGCATTCTTCAAAGACATAAACAGGTTGTTGAAAGATGAAACAGCAATCCTTTTTTGAATCCCATGGTAGATGGAAAGAGAAGGAAAACGCTTGCGGACAGAAAGGTTCAGTTCAGACTTTGGAAAGATCTTTCCTGACTGTAAGGAAAGCATAGTTGAATAGGATATCTGATACGACATCTGCATCAACGCAGGTCTCAAACAGTTAAGAAAAAATAAAATATGTTGGGAAAGACACGAAGATAACTCAGTCCTGTCCACAAGTGTAGCATAGACTAGATGTCTCTTTCTGAGGTTCCTCAGAGACCAGTGGCACTGTGGTGTGGTAGCAGGTCATAGCAGACTCTTTTCCTGAGGCAAAAAAGTAGCTCAAAAATGTTGGTTATTACAGAAATGTAGTTCATAGAAGTTCATAAGTTTCAAGGAAGTTGTGTTTAATTAAGGGTCTAGACTTTCCTCCTGAAATAATTCCCTGTATGTTCATGGATGACGTTTAGTACATGAACACTGAGATACATAGTTAATCTTAGATTATGCATGGCTGTTGTGGAATGGAGCGTGAATCTTTATATAGTAACTCCAGAAATCCTCCCTTAGAGCAAAAGCAGGGATTTTTGGCAAGGTGGTAACTTAATTCCTTGTACTATTGGAAAGATTTTATTTATTGGTATAAAAATTCCCTGTAGTTGAACCTACAGATAGATTTCCTCAGGAATGGTTCCTTAGGAAGCAGCCTGAGTTTCCGCCCAGTACAGCTGAGCTGCGAGAATGGATGCCCAAAGTTGTTTTTCTTGAAAATGTTCTGCTCTCACTGCTCCATCCACGGGCACTCATCGTGGAGACAATTGGAGACAATGTTACACAAGTACTGATCTGTTGTGAAGGTGCCATCTCTAATGTGTGAAGGGTTTTGCAGTACTTGTGATCATACCTACACAGGCTTTTTGTGGAGAAGGATAATCATGACATGCAAAAAAAAAAAACGCTTGCAAGCCGTGCATATTAGTTATATCCTTTTGATTTGAATCCCTTAAAAAGTAAAGGGCATGCAAAGTGATGTGGGCTTTCCTGAGGCAATGCATAAAACTTTCCTATGGAAACATGCTGAAATGTTTTATATCAGCGCGTAGTTATGAGACTTGGGAGTGTTTTTGATTGTCTTGACTTCATGCTGCAATGTCTTAGCTTTCACAGGAACAACAATATGAATGTCAAAAAGCTGCTACCAAGTCTTTTTGGAGTTGTGTTTGAGAAAACCTGGATGGTTTAAACTTGGTCTTTTATTGCAAATCAAGGTCAGAACCCTAGTTCTTTGAACAATACCTGGGAAAGTGGGACAAGGATAAAACAAGGGAGAATGTATATTCCAAAATAACTCTTAAAATGAAGCACAATTGATGCTATTCTTAGAATCTTTCTCACGTTACTGCACCTTAGTTACTGTAATATGACTAGTTTAAGAGAAAAAAAAGGAGCAAAATTTGAAGTGCACTAATTGCAATGTAAGTTAAAGATTTTCTTGAAGTCATACAATGTGTGTGTGTATATATATATGGAGCAATTAATATAACACCTTCCTCTTTTTCTTTTTTCCTTTTTTTTTAACATGCATGATATTAGATCACTAGGAATATTGATTTTAAGCAGCTTGTTGCAACAGTTTTTCCTAACTCATTTAGCTGTGGCTTTCAAAAGTTTAAATGTTTACATTTCAAATGGTCAAATATTGAAATTTTAGATGTTCAAATGTTTAATGTTTACTTGGCAAACTTGTTGGAGATGTGCTTTGTAACAGTTTGTAAAGGTATGAAGCTTTCTTTCAAAGGCAAGTTCAAAATTCAAGCTTGCCCAGTGACTAAATTTCTAAAACATTCATAGCTTGGCTAGTGCAATTTTGCAGCCACAAGAGCAGCTCCCAGTGAGCTGTGTTGCTTGGCATCACCTCTAGAAATTACCCGGTGTTGTCAGTCCTAGAGCAGGCAGAATATTTTCTTTATTCTACTTTTCATACTGAGAAATGTCTTTGAATACATGTGAGTGAGGAATTAACCTGGAAATAAGGAATGTCTTTGAATACATGTGAGTGAGGAAATAACCTGGTCCCACAGGTGTCTCCTTGGCCTTCCCAGCCAAGTGCTCCGGGTAGGGGAGAATGAAGCATCACACTAAGTGCAAGAGGAAATCTGTAGTGATCTGTTTGTTCATGAGCACATAAATTCCTCAGTTTAAACAGATACAAATGCACCTTTGCTCACACAGTAAATCTGCTATTAGCATTCTGGATTCTTCCTTACAGTGAGATTTTTTTTTTTTCCTCTCTTTTCTCTTTCCATCAGCTGAACTGAAGTCACTGCTGTGCTCTGGCAGAGCACTTTAGCATGTATTTAACTCATAAATACACTATAAAATATCTGSATTCAAGGAATATTGGAAGTTGAGCATGTTCTAATCTGAGGCATGAAGTTATTCACAATATGTCTTTTTTTATATTGTATAATAAAGTAGAAGTGTTAGAAGCTAAATGTTCTTAAAGTAAAATTCATGTGTTATCCAATAATGTGCTCTTTAAAATCTCTATATTTGGAATATTTTATTCATTTATTTTGGTCTTTAAAAAAACTTTTTTTTGTTTAAACTAACATTTTTAAGGAAATACCCAAACCGATACCYATAAATAAGTATTTTTTGATGTTGGCTTGTTAGGTATGAATCTTGCTGGCGGTGTTTTATAAGATTTTATTGGCATTTGAGATTTGTCTTTAATTTAAATCAACCAGGCAGATATGCTGTGCTTCTGTGGTTTTTATGAGCTGCTTTGTGTAGTCTGTACCGTTCTCCTGTTGTTATATGTAAGATGTTACTTATTTTTATTCCAGGCTACATATCCAAACAGAACGGGGAACCAAAACCTCAGCACGTGGGACAGAAAGTCAGCGCATACACCTACCGAGGACCCTTTTAGATACTCCTCGGGCAGCCCGGCCGTAGCCTACGAAAGCAAGAGCTGCCAGCTGTCCAGCCTGTGCCTGAGTAACCTCTTGCAAGAGAAGGAGATAGTGGAGGCCCTCAAGCAGAGCCGAGGCGCGTTCGAGACCTTCGCTCCGGAGGGCGCCGCTAACGGCGTGGCCGTCCCCGCGCATGGCGCGGCACCCAAGGCCGACTGCTGCCCGGCCTTCGCGGGAGCGCCCAAGGAGCAGAGCGGGCTGCCTCGGCAGCACAGCACCTTCACCGGCAGGCTCGGCCAGCCGCCCCGGGGACCCATCTCCTTACACATGTACAGCAGGAAGAACGTTTTCCTCCACCACAGCTTGCACACGGCGGAGCTGCAGACCTTGGGTCAACAGGATGGGTGACAGGGTGCTTGAGCGCTTACCGTGGAAGGAGAATTGGTCTGTTGGGAACATAAACTCTTCTAGAGCTTGGTCTTAAGTTTTCATCTGCTGCTACTTTTACCTAGAAAAGAAAAAAGAAAAAAAAAATGTCCATAGGTTCCATACTTCTTCATTTGGGACTGTGGCAAAGGAATGAACTGGATTGTTAAGTAATTAAGCTGATTCATTGTGCAAAAGTTACCATGTGTATAATAAATGGGATGACTTGGCTGACATAGGTAATCCAAAGTCAGCTAAACCCTAAACCTTTTTTTTTTTTCCCCCCCACCTTGATTCTGTAAACCACTAAGATCCACTGAAGTTTGGGAAGGCAGTCGTAAATAATACTGTGTACATATAATAATATTACTGTAAAAGTAGATGTGAGGATTGAATAGATAAGTAATTAGGAAACCTCCTTGAATTTCATAGAGACTAGGGAAAGAAGAGTTACAAGTCTGAGAATGGTGTTTTTTTTTTTTACAATTTCTTTCTTACATCCAATGACATTTGCTCTCTTGTAGAGATATGTTATCACTTCTGCTGTATGTATTTTATAGATGCCACAGGGCACCAGAGGGAATTACTGGCTGTTTTCTTTCTTTAACTGTTAAATTCAAAGATGTTTACCAAGTATTTGCCTCAGTAACTGAGGTCCAAACAGAGGATGGGAGCCTCAACCTTCCTCCCCCTTTCCTTTTTAAGCTACGTTTTTTTTCCTACTGTTTTTGTGCTGTTGTAAYATGCGATGTTGGGTGGTATTTGCTGTGCTTTTACATACGATAAGTCGCTTATGAGGCACCACGGCACTCTGTGCTGCATGATGCATCATGTGATTTCACTGCCCACGCCAAAAATGGGTGGAGGTGAATTGTACTTGAAGGGAAGCAATTGTCTTATTACTCAGTCCAAATTACCCATGTAATCAGGATTTCTATAGACTCTATCTTGCCTTCAAGGACCTGAATTAAACTAACTCGGCAGGTTTGATAGTCTCAATGCATTACACACAAGTGGGATGGATTTCATCCTGTTTGGTATGCAGGATACTGGGCTCACAGGAGTATGAAGTCATCTGAAGATATTAGAGAACTTAAAAGCTTGTCAGTAACAAAAGACCCTGTTTTCCCTCTGCAGAGGGCTTGAAAACAGGTAGCTCAGTCCTCAGTTACTCTGAGCATGTGGCATATACTAAACCTGACACTTAGTTTACAGCCTCTCTGATGCCAGGTAATCTGTCTGAATGATACTAGATTGTATGGTTGGTAGCTCATAACGTGCTCATAGGCATATTTAAGTATGATTGAGACAGATCTGAGACAAGTGGCCTCTGCCTTTAACTGGTGCTGAACAACGAAAGCCAAGGGCGTAGCAGGCGCTCACGCAAAGTATCGAGCACCAACTGAAGTCGCATACAAATAAAAAGGAAGCTCCCGCAGCCACTAAAAATTCTGTAACTTTTACAAGCAAGTCCACAGGGCATTCAGAATGAATTAGTGATTCCAGTTTTASCTAGTGTTAAACATAACATCCATCCAGCTACTTAATTATTGTATTAATGTCAGGATGGGTTAGGTTAAGAAACAACTACACTTTGACAGATTCTGCAAAGCCACTTCAACAGCCTGATCCCTGTTTACTCAGGGTTTTAGTTAGGGAGGAGTATGTTTGATGGCATTATCAGGTGTTGAAGAGAGCARGTTTTGTCCAAGTACTCAATAGTGGTAATTTTTGGTTTCCATTTCTGGATGCATTTGAATCAAGTCAGACATTTGCCAGACTTCTTCGTGCTTTTATATATCTGCATGTGTGTGTTGCTACTACGAAAGAAAATGTGCAGAAATTACAAACACAGCTTCACTGAATGAACTATGGTGTTCAAGACTTGGAGGCCTGCTTTGAAAACTCTTTAGACTTTAAAGTCTACCAAAAAAAAAAAAAAATCCAAAAATACTAGTACCAGAATTTCATAATTCAGCCATTTTATTCGTCTGAGCAATTTCTTAAGCTTATGGTAGATTGAAAGGACAGTTGATTATTGTCAACAGTACATTTCTTGCTTATCTCAAGAGTTGATGTATGCAATTATATTTCAGATCTGTAAATAAACTTACATTGTAATCAAGATTTTTTCCAGGATATAAATGTACTATACTACATTTAAAAACAGAAACAAAATTCAATTCAATTTTAACTTCTGTACTGTATCTATAGTTGTTTTTTTCCTGGAAAAATGGACTTCTGAATTACACTTTGTTAAAAAAAAAAGAAAAAAAAACCTGYCTATACATTTCAAAAAGAACATTTAAATGCTACTATTTTCTTGAAATATCTTTTTTTAAAACTGAAACTTAAAAAGAAAACTGAAGAAAGCAGTTCAATTAAAGTGAGGGATATTTTTAGATGTCATCCTGAAGCTGTTTTGTATCCATATTTTCAGCATTTGATACGTTATTTGTAATACTAAGTGTAAATCTCACCCAGAGAAGGGTATTGGCCACATGTTAATGTACAGTGCAGCAGTAACTGTAAAACAGAGGACCTTTGATCCTCTTGTGTACATAGTAAATCATAAAGCAACAGCATGTGGATGTTCTTTCAGCAAATTGATTCCTTTGTACTAAAAGCTCTAGTTTTTTAAGAATACCATGTATAAAATGATTTATACATTTCTCCAAGGCTGTACATATCCAAAGACATGACACCGGGGGAAAAAGGCACTTATTATTTTTGCCACGGATGTACCTTTTTTTCCTTTTCTTGATGTCTCTGTACAACAAAGCTTAACTGTAAAATTTCTACCGCAAATTACTTCTTGTTACTTCCAGATCTTTTCGTACTGTAGAGGACACTTTAAGGAGATGGAAATCCCTAAAGAAAAGCTGTTTCCGTTTGAATCCATGTCCCATTTTTGAAGCAGTTACTTGGCACAAGAAAAATTATTTCTATGCCCTACATATTTTWAAATAATTTAACAGAGCCACATCTGAATTACTATATCATCTGTGTAATTATCCTTTCTTCCATTACTAGAGTTCTTCCATGTATGTATTGCAGCTGAATGTGTTGTATCATACCAAGCCTGCTTGGCCCAGTCCTCATTCCTCTTCCTTGTACTAAGGTGGAAGGAAAACATCCAGTCCTGTACTCGTACATGGCACTTGCAGCAGTGGGAAGGTTTTTGGTAAATACTCTGCACGTGAATGGAGCTAAACTGTGTGTTCTGTGCACACTTGAGGGAGAAGTTTTTCAGCTATCCCCTCTGYCTAGGTTATTTGCAGCGCCTGAGAGCAGTCACTACCGTGAAGACAAGGTGATACCTGCCRCCTATTAGACTGAGGACATCCCTGTTTACCCTGGATGAAACAGCTGGAAAAGATTCCTTTTCCTAGTTCAAACTGTTGTATGTAAAAGCACTTCAGTGCTTTTTATTCCAAAAGGTACAGTTCCACTCAGATGTTACAAGGACTTTCCTTATGTTTGTTTTTTCTTTAAGTTTTGAAAGAGAGTATTTCAAGATTGATGATGTTTAGGGGAGTTTTGAATAAGCACAGGAACACTCACCCAAGATATTCATGTTTGCCCTACAGTGTAATTCCAGTCACTTCGGCATGATGATGGCAAAGCCATAAACTGATAGCTTTTTCTTTTTTATAAAAGCCAGTTCAGAAGTAGTGATTTCTGGTTGCTGTAACTGATTCCCTGTATACAGTAAAATGTACAATCTGAAAACTAATGGGTATGGGCTCTAGAAAAATCAGGCGTGTCCTTCCTGTAACTTTCATGCCAATTGTGCCTCTGCCCATTTGATTAGCTTAGCACCACTGGCTTCAATTAGGCTGGGCTGAGTTAAATCCCTTGAGGATTGGGATTGTGGCCTTTAACCCAGCTAATCTCAGTATATGCTCTTACTGAATTCTGAGAACTTTCTTGCTTTTCAGAAAAGATCAGACAAGATTTGACCTAGCAAAATATCATTTTTGTAGTCATTATCAAATATGTGTATGGTTTTCCTTCAGGTTAAAAAACTGAAGAAAAAAAAGCCTCATAAATCTATGTAGGTCATAAAGTCAGTAGACAAACAGTAGAGCAACAGTGACCTCTAACAAAACTTTCAAATAAATTTCTGAAGCAAAAAAATATAGTGGGATCCTCTGACAGACTTTTTGGTGGAACAGAGCATGTTCTAGAGTCTCTTTTCTTCCCTTCTCACTATTGTTGTTAGGTATTTTACTTAGTCTTCTCTGAATTGTTTTCGAGAGGGGAATGTGCCATTTGAAACTCCTGCAAGATGAAGTAGACGCTCCTGAATGAGAAAGCAAACTGGAAGCGGGGGTGGAGACTTTTCTGCCATCCTGCAAAATGATACAGCATTATTTCCAATATGCATTTTAATGTTCTGTGCACAGCAGGAGGAGGGGAGACATCCTTCAGGTAGTGAATTTGCTGCAGTCATGGAGGCCGTAACTGCCTTGAGACTGAGTTTAATCGCCTCTAGTGTCCTACCTAAGGCAGTATTAAGGTCATTTGGAAATTTCAGCAGCTGTAGAATGTGTCTCGCTGATACTTAGCCAACCAATTTGARCATAAAATGGCCTTGTAAAGTCTGTGTATTTGGATCTTTCTTGCTTGCTAATTATCCAGCTTGTGAGAATATGTCCACCGTGTTGCATATGATGCTAATTCCTTGTGTTAAAAAAGATACCTGGTATGTGCCCTCTCTGAAAATTTATTTCTAGTCTAGCRTAAATTTCTGGATTTAATTATCATCAGGTTGAACTTAAAGGGCTCTGTTGTTGCTAGGGTAGTGAAAAGGAACTCTATTGATCCATTCTGTAGGTATTTTGTAGTTAGTATTTTTTCATGTGGTTTGTGTGTCTCAGCAGTAGCTAGTGTTTAAAAAAAAAAAAGAAAAATACATTTTTTCTCACAACAACTTTGTTAGGCATTCTTCATAGGCACAGATGCCACTTATATTTTGTACTACTGTGAAATAATTTCAGACTTGCCATTTTTGTTGGCCTCGTTAGCAGCATATCATTAACCCTAATTATTTGCTTGTCCTGTAAATCCAGTGCACAGTGAGGACTGCTGRAGGTTTCCAAAGAAGTAATCCTGCCTCAGGGAAAGTGGAACAAAAAAAAACCTACATGATTCCCAGGTATGGAAAATGTATCCTGACCAACCCGTATGGCGAGAGATTKTGAGAGGCTGATGGGTCTGGCAAGTGTCCTCTCTGTTGGCTTCCCAAATCCATACAGAGCTTGTAGTGCAGAGGACTTTCCCCAGAGAAGTGTTTTCTAGTGTTTGAGTGGTACAGACTTGTTTCTTGTACCGCCATCCCCTCTGTGCCAGCCTGGCACCCAGAAATGTTCCCTTTGGGTAGATGTCGGTGTGTTGGCCAGGCAGGCGGATTGCTTTGTAGCTGCAGAAAAAGCAGTGTCATTTCCACCTTAAGAAGTCTCCTTTGCATTTTTTTTTTAGCAGCAGCTCAATAAAATGTTTCATGTTTCCTTCCACCAAGCTGTTATGCTACTGCTGCAGCAATACACAGTAAAGCCACAGAAAATTTCCACTTTCAAACTAAAGGCTCTGATGCTGGTTTTACATCTTAAGGATTCTGTTGCCTAGATGTGGATATGTCAGACTTACATTCAGCCCCAAAGATTCTTAAACTTACTAAAGCACYTGTATATCTAATACATTGCTGGATTTGAGTCTTATTCTTATCATGAGTCTATATTCTTATCATGAAAAAGCCCAAATAGAGTAACTTTTAAATGTACGTTGATATCAACAGTAGTAGCTGAATTTTGATTTCTTTTTGTTTTCCATTATTTCAATGCACTTTATATGAGGGCTGAATGCAAATTAAAAATAAGAGAAAGAATTAAARCTAATTTTAGTTTGATTACAACAGGGTTCAGAATTATTTGCATAAATTTAAGTATATAAACAATAYTGTTAAACAAGCAAATCTTGGTTCTTTGGAAGGGTGAACAAGAAAAAAAAGTTTTTTAACATAAGCAGTCTCATTCATATTGTTTTAAAGGCATAATCTGCAATTGTTTTTTTTAAATATACATATAAATAATTTTCAAAACCCTCAGACAAGTAGAAAAGTTGAGAAACAGCCTTTCTGCTCAAGCTCCTTGTCCTGTCACTGTCTGGCTTTGTTTTCCAACTCATTAGCTTAAAAAAAAATTATCTTTTCCATGCTAGAGTGGAAACAAAATTTTTTTTTTGTGTATGTACTCTACAGCTTGGATGTAGGGCCAATCAATGTTACATGAAAAATATAAGAAATCGAAGTTCTTAATTGAAGCATCTGATGTTGTTTAAGCTAGAGGCCCAACAATACCTAAAAATCCATATAGGTGGAGAACAGATGTTTCGTACCTGGTAAAAATCAAATGGAAGGGTATAGGGCAACAGATGGATAGCTCTTTTTCTGTTCTGGGGGTGGCAGTGCATAGCTGTTTTCGTTGAAATACACTGAAATARTATTTATAAAACCTCTTAAAAAGATACAAGAGAGAAAATGATTGTGTAAAAAGATGTGAGAGATCAAACAATCATGTATCACCRGAAGGTGTGAATAGGAGTACGTCCATATTTTGATCAAATATCATCCAAGTGAATTTACATCTTCTTATTACCATGATGTTTAGTTGTATTTATCTCAAGGATAGATATAACCCGAACAGCACAATTGTGCTGTAACACRGTTGTGCTGTAACTCAGAGTTCAGAAGAAACAGATTGTATTTTTAAAGCCTTGCACTTTGTGTAGTCATTTTTATTTATCTGAAATAAGGTTGTATAGTTATATTTTACACAGATGTGGTAATATCCTTACACTAGGTATAGGCATACTCTGAACAGTGGGAGAGATATGAGATGGGAGCGAGTCCCTCTACCAGGAACTCCGTTTAGGTTATGTG